AAAAGGACTAATCGAAGTCCCTCATTCAGAACGCCGGGTCGCGATATGGGGAGAGCCTATAAAAGAGAAAAGAGGCTGACTGTCCACACTCGTGGTGCTCGCGGTCTGTGGGTGCTCGCGGAGGAATTCGTTGCGCTAGCGCCACGGGTCTGAGACAAGAAAAAGGGGGAGCTTCGGGGTCTGTAAGGGCTGTCCCTGTGTGGGAGTCTGTTCCTAGTGGCTATGGCTTTGCACGGGTATAGAGCCAGCTACTGGTACCACCAGATTCGGTGGAAGCCTACGTCCGGGGAGGGGCCCCGGATCACGACTATACTCAACTACGATGGGGGAGACGAGCTAAGACTGAGGATCAACGTGGAGGGAGGAAAAGAGGAGGAGATGCGGACTGATGGAAAGTTACAGGATGCTATTACGGAGACGAAGGACCGTGTGGAGAGGCGCTGCAAGAGGGACGGCGTGACAGCGAAAATGCAGGTGACGGTCTCGTATCATGAGACCGAGACCTCAATGGACACGGCGGAGTGGGAGCAGGCCCAGCTGGAACGAGACTTAGGTGGGGAGAGTGAGGTGAGCGAGGCGGAGGACCCGGAGACGGACCTCAGGTCCTGGATCAGACCAGGCGAGATCCAGAGGCATCACCGGGCTGCAAAGCCGGTGGAAGAGGGACCTGAGGCCAGCTCGCGACAGCTGACGCCCAGAGGTTGCGGGACGGGGGAGAAGACGAGCAAGGGGAAAGATAGGTCTGAGAGAACGCGCGAGAGAGAGCGTGAACAAGACGAAAACAAAAACAGGGAGGCTGAGGAAAGTGCGGGGGATGGACACAGGCGCTAAATACTCGTCTGACACGTGGCGCGCCCTGGGAGGAGCAAGGGGGCGGTCAATGAGAGGCGTGTGTGTGAGAGTGGGGAGCACACTCGATGCACGCTTGTCAGTATGAAAGAGCGGAGAAGTCAACGAGGGGAGAGACAAGCAAACGTGGGGCGGTTTCGAGAATGTGCGAGACGTGGCCTAGTGTGTGAGAAGAGAGTTAGCGAAAGGAGAGATTGTGTGCGAAGCGAAGTAGGACGCGAGTTTGTATAGTGCGGTTGATGTCAACTGCTTTTCGCATGCTCGCGTAAAGTGCCGGCACTTGTGTGTCAGTCGTTGTCCACACGCTCACGTGACATGGCTACAGCTGTTGCAATGACGACACCATAAGAAAGAAGGGGGAACCTGTCGGAACAACGTGAGAAGAGTCTATTTAAAGAAGCTGGTCTGCAAGGTGTGGAGTAGGTTGCTACTCGATCTGCTTGCCGCGTGCTGAGCGTGGCCACTCCCTGTCATGGATACTGATCAGCTGCTTTTTACTAGGCCGTGGGCCATAATTACCCGCTAATTAGTGTGTGACCAGTGAGAAGCCGAGTTGGTGCCTGCGTGAGCAGGGGGAGACTCGACTCATCTACTATGATTGGCGTATATGGTCATGAGCCAGTTGCCGAGGGAGTCGTGTGGGAACTGACAAGAAAGAGGCTTGAGCGAGGACTCGAGAGTGCAGGTGACAGAACAAGTAGGATAAGTCAAGGAGATCTACGCGGGTAAACTCACCTTCACGTCAATGGGTCCAAGCAAATGTCAGCCCATGACTGAGTCAGATGCTCAGTGAGATGAACGTTGAGGCTCTTCACCAAAGTAGATGTCTGAGTTATGAAGACGTGTGAGAGAGGATCGAGGGCAACGAAGTCAGCAAGAAGGTGGGGGCCTCCTGCTTCGGAGTGAGGTTTCGCTTACCAGTTGGCATATCCGCTCTGACCGTCACCTGTTTTCCGTCACCCTCATGTCACTTCCAGCAAACAACGGAGACGGCAATCAAGGGTCGTTGACACGCCTTCCGTTATGACTGTCTTGGCCAACCCTTCAGATAAGATGCTGGCTCTGGCAAAATATAATCCCTTTTGTACCCACTAGTTTTAGACCCCCTCTTAGGTCGAGTAGTCTGTGTGACTAATTGTCATTGACGGATCATGTTGCACAGTGATAAAAGAAAATTAAGTCCTCAGTAGACTGTATAAGCGGGCGACTAAGGAAGTAGCCCCAGTTTGTAACAACGTTTGAAATGAACTTTCCCCGGAGGGAATTTAACGTACGGGAGGGTGGTTTGAGATGTTAGTGAGGCTGAGGCTGGGTATTCATGGAGTTTAACATGTCCAGGCGCAATTTATCTGGGAGCGTTATTTGTATTGAGTGATTTGGAGAATACAAATGCAATAAGGAATTGGACTTCTTTTACTTTTCCGCTCATCTGTGTGTGATTGTGCGGTGTTGATTGCTTCGTGTGGTCACTCCGTGTGATTACTTCGTGTGACGACTTCGTGTGACCACTTTGTGCGACCACACCGCGTGACTACGCTGTGTGACTACGCGGCGTGATTAAGCAGTTATGACACGGTAATCACCGACAAATCAGCAATTCAGAAAATAATCAGCATTTGACACAGCAACCAGCAATCTCAACAATAGTCAGTTTTGCGGTCAGCGACCAGTCTTCAGCATTCAGTTTTCAGCACTAAGTTTTTCAGCAATCAATTTTCTGCAATCAGTTCGGTAATCGGTTGTCTGTGACCATCTGGTCAGTTCTGCGTTGGTAAAGGTACTCATGTGCACAGTTCAGTCTACGCTGGTCAGTGAGTCGGTGCTGGCCAGCCTCAATCGGATTCCATGCAAAGAGGCATTATGTTATCAGTATGTTAATGTCATTGTTTTCAGACAAGGAGATCTGTCGATCTTCGTTGTCCAGACCAACTTTGCTGGCGGTACTATCCACGACTTGAGGCCGTACCTGAAGAAGGGCAAGGAAACTCATGAGCGTTTCGATCCACTCTGGATCTCAGCCACCAAGTACCTTGAGCAGAGAGAGAGGGAGCTCGATGAGGGTGACACTACGCTGATCCGCAGCTTTGGTCCAATGCTTTATACTGACTATCACAGGCCTCTCGTTCTTTCCTTTCTCACAAATGGCACAAGTTGGCTTCATAGGATCGACTTGGCAAAGAGGTACATCTCTCCAGCAGTGATCGACATTGAGGCACTGACTGAGCCCACCGAGTATCCCTATCTTAGGCAAGGAGTCTTTTCAGTGGACGGACTGCCTACCTTGTGGGAGGAGTTTTGCTCCATGGTTAACTACCGTGTCATGTACCTCGGATGATCATGCTCAGAGCTTGCTGGCTTCAGGTGACATTTTGTCACGAAGCCTCAGTCTCAGATTGTACGTGGGCGTGGGTCACGACACCAAAGAAGATCAGTGAAATGAGAGATTGAGGGAAACTGACCAGAGGGATGAGTGAGGACTCTTGAGAGGTGCTGACCATGCTTATGTGTACTTTCTGAGATTATTATGAGTTCTCATTCATCCTTCATTCATTTGATATAGTCCTTGCTCGAGTCAGTCTCTCTCGCTTTTTTGCATTGTCTTGCTTGATGTTTGCACTCTTTGACGATCTTGTCACAATTCTCAAAAATCAGAATGACATGATTGATGTATGCATAACACCCCATAACTTCTATGATTATTTATTTGCATGATGTTCAACTGTTTCGAATCAAAATAAGAGATTCCTAAGACTGGGGAGCGGTGAAGACCGTAATTAAAGGGTCTCGCTCGAAGCCGGACGCACACAACAGGAAGGGATTTGCATTATTTAATTTATTTATTTATTGCAATTACATACAAAAATCATGCGTGACAGCCTGTTGGTTTTCCGGTCGTTTGAAGCGGCCTGACTGAAAAAAGTGCGACAAAAATGGCGCTGTTGTCGGGGACATGAAAAGATTTTCGTGTCCGGAACGAACCTGGGTCATCATCGTCTTGAGATTTGATTAGGACGTGAGAACTGTTGACATTTCTGTGAGTTTTATGTTAATTTTATTATTCGCATTTAAATCCCGATTTTGTTGAGAATCACGACTGCTAACTGTGATTTATTTATTCCTTGTGTGAGATACCACACTGGATCGGGAAAAGGAGATTGATATTATTGACTGGAGAGAATCGAGCTTGACACCAGGTATGCCAAATTATCGCCCAAGACGCTGAAAGGAATTGAAAGGAAGAGGGTGAGACGGATCGAGACAAATGTTGGTCGATGGTGTTCTGAAAGAAGTGTCTAAATTTACTACAAGAGGGATATTTCCTTACAGGTATGAGGTTTGTTGGGGCTATCATTCTTGTGGCTCAACTATCTGCGTAGTGCTGACTCATTTTTTGGAGGAAGATATCTATGATATCCATCCATATGTCAAGGAAGGAGGCAGCAACGATGGTGAGAATTTTAATTGGTTATGGGAGATCGTGATCCAATTTATCTATGATGAAAAGACAGACTTGATCAAGCAAAAGAGGAAAGTGGAATGGGGCATAATGCCAGTAATATACAAGAATGTTCCAATCCCTCCTATACCTGACAGCTATTGTGATGGAACTAACTGACTGTCGATAATCAACATGGTATTGACAAGAAAAAAAAAAAATGGTGGTCATGAGAGCTGAAGAGATTTCGGTAGAAGTAATCGGACAAAGAAGGTCAAATTTTGGCAGAGGTTCGGGTCCAAGTCAAGAGAAGATTGAACGTCTCCTAAGGTCGCTGAATACTCTGAGCAATAGAGAGGCATTTCCATATGAAGTTATCAGGTATGAGATGGCCGAGAGCGGATGGGAACAAGAACGATTATATGTACTGACATTCTATTTCACTGACCTGGATGTGTATGACGTAAGAATTTATGTCCCAAAGGAAATAAGTGATGATGCAGTATATGAGAGATGTTGGGGATTTGCTGAAGAAGTCGTATTGAAAGAGAGAGAGAGGCTTAAGAGAGAAAACAAGTGCTTCACTGGATCTACTCGATTTTCTGTCTTCAAGGTGTTTCCAGCTCCTCTCTGCCTGATATAAATTTATCAAAAGATGATTGGTTTGCGGTAATTGAGTTTGTCCAAAAAGTGAGAAGAGGTCAAAGAGTCTGATGAGTCGACGCTATGTACCTTTGAGAGAAAAATCTAAGCTTAGACTGATAAGAGGCCATGAAGGGCTGAGTAAGGCTCAGACAAGCTCCTGAATTCTCTTAATTCTATAGCGTGTAAGGCCGTAATTCCTTATGAAATCGTGAGGTATGAAGCCATAAAGAGATCAGGGCAAGAACAGGACAGTTTGTATGTTCTTACATGCTATTTTGTTGATCTTGATGAATATGATATTGGGATTTATGTGCCGAAACAAAGATTTGACGAAAGTCGAAAAGGTGCGTGTTGGCAACGAGCGTCGAATCTTATGCATGATGAGAAGAGAAGATTAGAGCGAGAGGGAAGAAATTTCTCCTTTAGCACCTATGTCATACCTTTTGTTGGAATACCGTCTCCACCTGTTGAGGGACTCACATTCCAAAGGTACAATTGGTATGCCATGACAAAGTTTGCATGGAAAGTGAAGAGAGTCCAAGAAGAATACTCTCAGTAGCCAGGATAACTACTGTGAGGGGTAAACTCTATGAGGTGATAGGGTGTGATAATCCTTTCGTGATCCTTAGATATGAGGCTTGTGAGAGAGGGCCCATAATATTTCACATTCCAGTGGTCAAATTCCTGAGTACTGGCATCCTGGACGTAAGGATCTATGTACCAGCAGGCCTAGAAGAGGAAGACGATTACTTGAAGTGTCTGACATGTGCCTATATTAGTCTCATAAGAACCAAGGAATGGCTTGAAAAGTTAAAGAGAAAAGTAACCTGGGGGAAAAAAGTAAGACAGTTTGAGAGGCTTCTCGAGTTCTCAATTGCTAAGCGATTTGAAGGCAGGAGAGATTGGATGCCTCTGTTGGAAGCCATTGCAGAGATTGGTAGAGCAAGAGAAAAAGACCCCACTTTGATGATAAAATCCCTACACCTGAGTACCTTTGAACACAGATTCGAGGTCTATGATTATGTTCAACCTGAGATCTACCTTTCAGATGTTGCTTATGATGATTAGCAATGCCCAGTTTGACTGAACAGTTGACACTGGGAGTTGTGTTGGAAGGTAGAATAGTCCAAGTAGAGGGGACTCTTAGGATCTCTAACAAAAATTTTTCTACCCTAGATGAGCTTGAGTTTTTACAGTCTTTCTTAGATCGCATGAGAGATTCTGCTTTGAGAATTATCACTGATCAGACTGAGATAAGCTATCTGTTAAAGGTGGTGAAAGTGGGAACTACTGAGAGAGTATCATATCACACTTTTCAGGAATGGGTCTCTCTTGCAAGAAGGATCAACAGTGGGTTGTAAACGATGCAATCTGATTATAAGATTATAGANTGCAAGAAGGATCAACAGTGGGTTGTAAACGATGCAATCTGATTATAAGATTATAGATCTGACTCGATATTTTATGATTCGGGGTACTGTAAAGGGGTATGACAGGAGACTGAGTAGAGATGATGAGACATAGCTGATTGAAGATTACATTGGAAGACTGAGAAGGATTGCACTGCCCTTGATCACTACTCAATCTATTATTGCTTATACCCTATATGTACAGAACTCTCAAGAGGTAGAGCAGACAAGAGAAAAGAGAAACGAGTCTGTATCTCTTGCGAGAAGAGTGAGAAATTGAAGGGCAGAGAAGAAGAGGATAAGAGTGACAGAAAGAGAAGAGAACATCCGGGAAAGATCTATGGTCAAGATGGCAGGGCGAGGAAGGCCGAGTACATCAGCAGGGACTAATGAAGAGGCCTTGGTTTCGGTTATACGAGAACTAGTTGAGAGAGTTGATACAATCAAAGGACGATCAGACATTGCAAGAGCAAAGAGGTCAGATGAAAGAATACCTTGTTTCAGAGGACCCCCGGTTAATGATTTCTTGGACGAGTATGAATTATTTGGACTTAGTTATGGCTGGACAGATAAGCAACGACTTAAGCATCTTTTATATTACTATGATACTGACTCAAGGCTGGCCGTTCAGGAGCTAATGGAAGGTGCCATTACCTGGGAAGAGGTCAAGGAGGGAATGAAAAAGGAATTTGAGAAAGATTCAGTCCCAACTACAACTAAGGATTTACTCAATATCAGAAGAGCTAAATATGACACTTTCAATGTTTTTCTTCAGACCTTCAGCCGAACAGCAAACTTAGAGATGTCATATATTCTTGACAAATTTTACTGACACTGAAAGACAAGCAGTCCTTAATCAAGGTCAGCACTATCCTCTCAGATGGGATAAAATGGTTGCAATCATAAGAACTCTACCTACTGTTTCCCATAAGAAATGGTCACTGGATCAGATCAGTACTTTGGCCAAGGACTGGGAAACTGAGAATGGAAAGAATAGAGGAAGCAATCTGACTGCTGAGAATATTCTTCAAAAAATGATGTCTAACTTTATGCCTGCAACGCCTGCTGTGGATGACAGAGGAAAGAAAAAAGGTTGAAAGTGAGGAAGATGACGGCGATGATGATGACAATGAAAATCATGCTAAGAAGGGGTATTCGTCCAGAACGAAAAAGAATGAGAAGAATGGTGATAGAGGAAACAGAGAGAAAAGAAAATATGATGAGCGTCCTAAGAGGAGTTTTACTTGCTACTATTGTGGCGAAAGTGAACATACTACCACCTATTGCAAGCCTCTTGAGAAGTGTGTAAGGAGTGGGGTAGCAAAGAAAGATGCAATGAGTCATGTTTGTGATAGCTCATGGAATAAGTTGGATCCAGACATCCAGGAGGTATGAGGCTTCTTGCTCTTAAACACGATGAGAAGATGAAGATTGAAAAGAAGAAAAAGGTCAATGTGAATGTTCATTTCCTCATTGGAGACTTGCCTGATGAACTGGTACAAAGAGCAAGTGACCCTTATACCACGATTGAGTTGTCTCTGCAGTCCTTAACACTGACAGAGTGTGAGCCTAGCGAGGCATCAACAAGTGAGTCTCCATTGGGAGGCAACCCTACTTTTCAGAATCCTTCTGGATTAGTAGAGTCCTCTTCCAATGAAATGGCTTATCTTCTGGCTAACATGATGTCATTCCATGGTGATCTACCCCCATAACTTATCATGGAACCCAGTGTCAGGGTTGGTGAATTGAGGAACCATCAAACCCGTATGACACCTCAAATGATAAAAGAAAAGAAAAGAAAGAAGGTTGAGGAGTCGCTTATTAACATCCTTGATGACCCTGAACCGGAACGTTCACCGGAAAAGAATGAACAGGGGAGAAAGAGAAAATTTATTCTCAAGAGTGATTTGGATGATGGGACTGTGATTTCTGATGTAATTGCTAAGATGCTGGAAGAAACGGAAGTGACACTGTCTTTCAAGGAAGCAAGGACACTAGCACCCAAACTGAGAGAAGAGTTGAAAAGGTTAATTGAAAAAAAGAAAATGGAAGTTAATTATTTGGGGTCAGTCTTTCCCAACCAAGTGAATAGATCACTGTCGGGTTGCAAGATGAGATTTGCAACCATGGGTTGTGGGCATCTTACAATTCGCATCAATCAAGTGAAAATTCTAGCCCTAGTAGATTCTGGGGCATAGATGATACTTCTTTCACGAAGAACGATGGAAGCATGTAATTTATCTATTGACAGACCTGCAAAAAATTTGCTGAGTAATATTGCAGGAGAGCTGCCTGTGGCAGAATTTATTGATAATTTGCCTATCAAGGTTGGGACAATGACTGTGGAGTTACTGGTTTTGTAGTACCGGATCTGGATCATGACTGTATCTTGGGAACTCCATTTTTGCATAGGATGGAGGCGGTCCAATTTTTGAGTCATGAGGGGTCATCTTGGATCAGTCTACAGGATCCCGAGACTGCTCAAGAACAGACCTTTATGGTCGGTACGAAAAATGACTTCAAGCATAAACTATCTGCTAATTTGATCAGGAGGAAGGAATCTGCTGAAAGGGTTAGGAGACTAAAGGCGGAAGGAAAATGAGAAGCAAAACATGAGATTTCAATGGGGATCAATCAAGTTTCGAAAATGATAAAAGCCCTTGGTAAACTCGAGGATGAGGACGGACAAATTGAAGCCTTCAAGAAAACTGTAGAGACTGCGAAGGGAGGAAAGATGGAATTAAGATTTGCATCGACTCACCCTTTTTAGGAAAATAGCCACTGGGTCAAAAAAAAAAAAAAACCCCAAGGGGGTGAAAAAAAAAACACTGGCAGTCTTAACAGAGAAAGATTATGATAAAGCATTGGAAAAGGAAAGACAAATTATAAGAGCATTGATGGAATCAGCAAAACTGGAGAATAGGGTCACCAAAGAAAGGTTTGACACAATGAAGATAGACTCGGATCAGTTTATCCTGCCTAAAGAGAAATAATATATCTTCAGGATGTGTCAGGAATTCTCTAGTGCTTTCTCCTTTAATGATGAAGAGAGGAGGCGATTGGACGTGCATATGATCAAGATGACAAAGATTTGGACAGTTGATCATGTTTCATGGAATGATAGGTCAACCAAGTATGCCTTGAAGGAAGAGGCAGAGGTTGTGAAGTATCTTGACAAAAAGATTGCATCTAATGTTGTTGAACCTACTGATGAACCGTATGCTAACCACTGGTTTTGTTTTTGAAAACCAGGGGGCGGGCTAAGATGGATACAAAATCTTCAGAAGCTCAATTCAGTGATGGTACGTGATGCAGGTAGTCTTTCTAATGCTGATCTCCTCGCTGAATCATTTGCTGGTCGAAGTATTTATTCTCTAGTTGACCTGTATTCTGGTTATGATCAGTTCCATATTGATCCTACTAGCCGGCTAATGACTGTCATGCACACACCAAGGGGGCTTGTTCAGATGTGCGAGGTACCTCAAGGCTGGACTAACGAAGTGGCAATGGTTCAAAGGGATATGATCAAAGTCATGCAGGATATTTCTCCTCAAATAACCTGTCCCCACATTGATGGTAATCCTGTAAAAGGACCCTTGGTAAGAGATGAGACTTTGGTCGCAGGGGGAGTCAGAAAGTTTGTCTGGGAACATGCTGAAGAAGTAAAGATGGTCCTAGAAAGACTTCGGTAGTATAATCTGACTGCCAGTGGGCCAAAGTCCCTTCTCTTCTAACCAGAAGTGATAATCTTGGGCTTCAGATGCTTCTCCAAGGGTAGGAACCCAGATGCAAAGAAGATAGACAAGATTTTGAACTGGTCTCTGCCTCTCAAAAGAGTGACAGACGTCAGGAGCTTCTTGGGAGTCTGTGGAATCTGGAGGATTTTTATTCCTCATTTTGTTTCCCTTGCAGAACCTCTGAGGGAAATGGTAAGGCAAGGTGCTAATTTAGCATGGAATGATAAAAGACAAGCTGCAGCAGAAACGTTGCAAGAAAAACTAAGAGATGGTGGTGTAGTGCTGGGAGTGCCATGTTATGATGACGAGGAGACAAGACCTTTCATCATTGAGGCGGATGGAGGATCAGTTGCTCTGGAAAGATGAAAATGAGAGAGAAAGACTTCTAAGATTTGAAAGCAGAACCCTCAATTCTACTGAAAGAGACTACACCCAATTCAGGAAAGAGTTACTGTCGATCATCCATAGGCACAGGTGCTTCAGGTACTACGTTTTGGGAAGGAGATTCATCCTGAGGATTGATGCATCTCCTGTGATTGGTGTCATTAAAAAGCACCAACAGGTAGATCGAACGATCAGTAGATGGATCGTCTTGATATATGATTTTAAGCTGGAAAAGATCCTCACTGAGAAAAACAGAGCGGATGGCTTAAGCCGGATCGAAAGTGGCGAGAGGAAGAAGAAGAAGATGTGAATGAAACAATTGAAGAATCTGTCTATGTTGATAATTTCCTTAATGAAAAAGATGATGAGGATTATGAAGCATCATGCTCCTACCGGTGGAGTCTATGGCCTTAAGAGAGAGACAGTTGGGGAGAAATCCCAAATGCATACGTTTATGAATCGATTCTTGGAAAAGAGGAGAAAGATGAACCGAACGATTGGTATGCCAGAGTTAACGCAGCAGCAGTGGCTGCTCATGAGATTTGAAAAATTTCAAGTTCAAAGGAAGAAGAAGAGAGTGAAAAGAAGGAAAAAGAGATATTTTTCTTCTTTGAAGAATATGATGAAAATTATCAAGAGATTGGCAGGAAGATGGAAAGGGAGCAGCTAAAAGAATATTATTGTAAAGATTCATGGAAGAAATTCAGACTAAAAAGAGGACATCTCTTTGTGGATGGTAAGGGAGACCTACCTCCACTAAGAGTAGTCTGTGGTAAAGAGAGGCAGTTAGAGATAATTGTTGCTCTACATGAAGGGGTTGCTGGTGACCACAAGGCTGCTGAGGCAACCTACTCCAAAACTGTCAAACTCTACTTTTGGGATGGCATGAGAGACATGATTTTCAGATACTGCAAATTATGTATGGTATATCAGAAGAGGTCTACCACAAGAATGATTGAACCCCTATTCCCTACAATCCTGGTAGAGCCAGGTAGCAGAGTTCATCTGGATCTCATCACTATGCCTCCAGGCAAGGGTGGAATGAGATACATACTAAACATGAGATAATTTCTCTGAATACGTTGAGGCAAAACCTCTGAAGAGGAAGACATCCGAGCAAGTGGCTGATTGGATAGAGCTAATTTATCTCAGGTATCCTTTTATGAGAGAATTTGTCTCAGACAAAGGATCAGAATTCAGAAATGAGGTCGTCAGAAGAATTACACTCAGATTGGGTGTCAGAATTCGGTATGTGACTACTTACCATCCTCAAGCGAATGCACCTGTTGAAAGAGGTCACAAAAATCTGAAAGATTCGTTGGCCAAGTGGTGTGAAGGGAAACTCAGTAACTGGTCAAAGGTGTTAAGAGCTGTTGTATATGCTGATAATATCACAGTCAAGAAAACTACTGGTTATGCACCTTTTACACTTTGGTATGACCGTTATGCTACACTACCAATTAAGAGTATTGTCAAGACATGGTCAAGTCAAGAAAGCGACAAAGATTATTCTATTTCAGAACTCCTTCAGATTAGAATGAGGTAGATATCTGAAGTTGATCAGGCAGTGATGGATGCAGCAGAGAGAATGACATCCAACAGACTATCGGATCAAGAAAGATGGAACAAGAAAATATATATAAGAAAATAGAAATTCAAGATTGAAGATGTTGTCCTTCTGTTTGACAGTTCTCTTGAGACGCAATGGACTAAAAGGTTGGAGCCAAGATGGCTTGGTCCCTATAGAATCATAGGGGAAGCAGAGGGCAAAGTTTATGAGATTTCAGAGATGGATGGATCCAGGGTTCATGACATGGTATCAGGTTCAAGACTTCGTAAGTTCATCTTTAGAAACTCTAACTTGATCCCTACAGTGACTCCAAAGAGAGGGAAGAAAAGTCAACCATCCAAGTAAGAGAACGGTCATAGAGGCCTGAGAAAGAGTACAATAAGACATTGAGACAGTGAGGCTCAATTATCAGTAGACAATGGTCATTCTTGACTCATGGCTGTGGCACATCAAATAATATGAGCAGTATTATTCCTATCACAAAAATAAAGCATGATGGACATAAATAAGTTAAGTTCTGTCTGAATAAAAGTTATCAACAAAAGGACTTTGTGTCTCTGACTAAGTTGTCCATCCAAGAGATTCAGACCAAGGCAGGCATAAAGAAGTTACAGCTTTACTTGACTGAGGGTGGTCAGTAGAGGGACTTCGTGCTTCTTGGCTAAGGGCCTATCTTCACTCAGATGAGTGAAGGGACCTCTCTGAGATCAGAGTTTCAGTATATCCTTGAGACTGACGGGACGTCTCTTGGAAAAAGAAATCTCAGTTGAGGGAAGGGGCCTCTCTGGGGCTAGCACTAAGTTTTTGCTTGTGACTGAGGGGAGGTCTCTTGCAAACTCTTAGTGTTGGCTAGCATGTTATTGTTCAGTGCCTCTTGAGACTGACGGGAAGTCTCTTGAGAGATGTTTGTTCTGTTATGGGGCGTGGACAGTTTTCTTGTGGGTTATGATATGCTTGCCTGATTGTCTATGCCTGGGGTTTTTCTTCTCTAACCTAAGGATGCGTTGATTGTCGGATCAACCAGAGCCTTACCGCAGTAGGTTGCAATCTGGTGGGGTCAGCAGGTCCCCGACGCGAGTGTCGAATTCCGTAGTCAGCTGAGGCTAAGACTCTGGGGGTCTGGCCTATGAGGCCAAAAGGGGTCAGTTGGAACCCTACCGCAGTCAGAGGATGCAATCCAGTGAGATTCGCTAGATCATGGAACTATGGTTAGACCGGGTCCCATGTTCCAAAATTTGGGCGGGGCAGATAGCGCCCTTGGCCAAAAACTGGTAGGTGAGCCGGTCCCTGACCTCAGTGGTCAAATCCGGGTTCGGGACAGTTTGACTGACGGGACGTCTACTGTCATAGGGTGACCAGACCCGCTACAGTCTGGGTGTCCTGGGGAGAGTGCCAAAGGGCTGTCATACTCGAGTAGTGGGTATGATTGGTCCTGACCTGGAGGCAGGTCAAAGAGGTTGTCAAGACAAATGGTCTGACTAGTCCTGGCCTGAGGCGGGCCGAATGAGGTATGTCAGACTGACGGGACGTCTGACATTCCTGGCCAATGGTGGGCCGAAACCAAGGCAATCAATAAGTCCTGGGTATGAAGAGTTGTTATGTATTAATTGTTATTTGTTATTTATTGTTTTATTTATGGGGTTTATTTTAATATGTTAATGTTTGATTGTTGGTTGTCAGAGGGTCTGCTTGCTGGGATATGGTTGTTGTATGTGGGACTTGCTGGTTTTGCAGGTATGCAAATACTTATCCGAAGTTCCCAGACCAGAGGAAAGAAAAAGGGTTTGGTATCCCCTCCCTTTTGTCTGAGAAGTTGAGGAGACGCCTCACTTAGACCAGAGAAAGAAAACAAGGGTTTGGTATCTCCATCAAGTGAGGAGCTGAGAAGATGTCTCTCAGACCGGAGAACAGAAAAGAGGGTTTGGTATGTCCTACTTCCAGCATGGCAGACAGAGTACCCTCGTTACTGGTGTTATCCCTGGCATAGATGCTTGATCAAGAGCTAAGGTAACCTCCGTGTGAAAGACCAACAGTTGAACAAGTCGGACAAGCAGACAAAATCTTTCTTAAAATTTTATTGGGTGGCCGACAAGCGGCCTTGTTCACGAGGAACCAACATCCCTGGCCCAAGGAAGCCAAACTCTCAGGCCTGGGACGCTATAAAGTGGACGGGAATTAAAATTTTATGAGCTAGAAATCAGACTTAAAAGTCTGAGAAGAAGTCATGCTTATATAGGACATAAAAGACAGCCATGAGTTCAAGCTGGAAAAGGAAGAGAAGGAAGAAAATGATGAAGAGAACACAGTGACTAGGGTGATGAGGAGATGAGACTGTGCACGGAACAGCAGGAGGCGGAGCGGGCACTATAGCCTTGCTTACGGCAGGGGTGGAAGGAGCTCCGGGGATATAAGGAGGTGAAGAGGCGCTAGGTGTACCATAGCGCGCGTCAATTTTTTTACGGAGAAACTCCATCCTGTCGGGAGATGGGGTCCTCTCGTACCACCCCGCTAGCGAATAGCGGTGGTATGGCCTTGGGCGGCCGTAGCCTCGTGGCTCCTCTTCTTCCTCCTCCTCCGAGCTATAATCCCGCCGTGCCCTAGCCGGCGGTTCTTCTTTTGCTTTCCCTCCTCTTCCTCCCCTTCCTCTACCCTGTCCACGACGCGCCTCAAGCATGATGCAGAGTGAATGGTCGTCAAGGGAAAAGATAAGGGGTAGATGATATAGCACTGAAGGCTATGACAAGAGCGGGACTCTGTAAGCGAGGTTTACAACGGCGAGATGGATTAGAAAAATCAAAAAGTGAGAGACTTTTAAAGAAAGAGGGTAGAAACTGGTTGTGCGGGATATGGAGAACTACAGCTTAATACAGAAAGATGAGCATTAAGAGAAAAGGCTAGCACAGAGAAAGAAAGGAACTGGCACGGAGAGAGAAGGCTAGATTAGACGGAAGGGAACGAGCGCTAGACGAGCGCAGAAAAGAGGGACGATCGTAGAAAAGAAAGAGGGATGCAAGAAAGGGAAGCGAGTGCGGAAAAATGAGGTGAACGTTACGCGAGAGAGGTGGCTAGTGTGAAAAGAGATGGTGAACGCAGAGAAAAAGGAAGGGTCAACGCGAGCACTGAAGAAGAGAGAGTGAGTGTTGAAAGTAATACGGAAGCTAGCTGCGCAGAATCGCAGTGCGGGTATCGCACTGAATCGCTAATAGGAATGAATGAAAGTACTGCTGCTCACGCTGAATTTATGATGAGAAACGTGATGTATTTCGACCCAACAGGGACGCTGGGTGGGGGTTTGGTATTATGTCGGAGGGCGCGGTGTCCTGACCCTCCTTTGTGTACCAGGTCCTCGCTTAGTGTCAGTCCCTTGTTCCGGCCTACTGCTCCCCAGGCTCACCTCGTGCTGCTGTTCCTGGTATCCAGGCTGTACCTCGGCGCGGACCACTCCCGGTGATGTTGCCCTCAACAAAAGGGGTGCGCCACAAGACTTCCATTGGTCCACGCAGGCTCGGCACCCTGCTGTACAGCAGAGCACAACCGGCCTGTGACCGTGGTAGCCGTCGGGTTCGCCCTGGGACGCGGAAGTGAGAGGGCAGGCTCAGTTTTTTCAAATGCGCGTCGAGCGTCCTTCTACTGAGTTATGGGTTAGGTGCACGAGACAAAGTCGTTGTCGGAAAGGAAAAATAAAACGCCAAGATTTAAACCCGCTTTTGTATGGGGAAAATCCTATGGCCGCAAGTCATTGGTATGCAATGATTTCCT